GGTCACTTCTATTTGCTATCTCAAACAAGTGCCTTACACCTTAAAATTCTTCCTTAAAATATTATTCTCAAGAAACAGTTATTTGTCTGAACATCTCACTTAAAGAATTATTGGACTCAAGAGTCAACAGAGTAAAACCTGACCAAATGAGAAATATAATTGAAATGACAAGGAAAGTTGAATTATTGGAGGCAAGAGCTTAGGGAGTAAAAATTGAGCACAAAAGAAATAGAAGAGAAACCATCTTACGGCCCTTTCCAGCCTGAGACTGAGGAACTTCAGTACTCTCTACCAAAACAGATTCTGCCTACTAAATTTTCCAGAAAGTAAATTCGGCATTTTGGCAAGCCCATTGTAGTTAGAATGCTCTAAAAAGCACTTCTGTGACTTGACAAACATTTTGATCAGCCAAGTTTACCAAAGGGTAAACACCGATGAAGGAAAGATCACCAGGCCTGGGCTTAGGTACTGCCTCGGCTTCGCCAGTCTCAACATCTCTCAGGGCCGTGTCTCCGGGAGAGCCGGGTTAACAGAACGGGAGGTGGACATCAGCCATTGGCATGGAGCAGCCTCAGTAATCGCTAGGGACACTTTTTCTTGAAATAATTCAGATTTGCTTGCTTGCTTTTTGATCATTTCTTTAAAACCAAGATTGAGACCCTTTCTCAAGCCTAAGTCATGATTTTGACCTTCAGGAGCAGGACAAGAGGGGAACAAAAATTTTTAAATCTTAGAAAGATGTTCAATAGCGCTTTTTAGGTGAGAGCAGATGTCTAAAAGAAAGCTCTGTGAATCAACAATGTATTAGCATCTCTTAAGGTTTTGACTGTTTAAATACTAATCTGCTACTAAGCTATCTACTAATTTGCTCTTTCTAAAAGTTTCTTTCATTCTTTCTTCCATGAGAGAGAAAGAGGGTGGGTTACCCTCAACAGGGTCTTCATGCTGTATTCCCAGGCTCAGCCAGCCCAGATCATGGGTATGCACATCTGGCGTGATCAGGGAGGAACCAGAATGAAAACCTAGACCCTTTCCCATGTGAATCTAATTGTGTTATCATCTGGCCCAAGTATCTACTAGTTCTAGATCTATTATGTGATGTTTATCATCTACTCCAATGACAGCTCCATATTCCCTGAGCTGTAAGAATGAAACAAGGGCCCATAATAAGCCTTTAAAAATAAGCCTCTTGGGACCAGCAGTTAGTGTAATGGCTATGTCATTGGATTCCCATGTAGTCGACCGTGGTTTGCATCCCGGACCCGGTGGCTTGAGACTCATGCCGGGCACGTGTGAGTGCGTGCCCAAGATCCCGAGAGGAGAATGGAGGAGAAGGGATTGCGGCATGGCCATCCCCCCTGGGGGCTCTCTCTATCAAAAACCTCCCCCCCAAAAAAAAAAAAAAAAAAAAAAAGAAGCCTCTTACAGGGCCAGCTGGTGGCACAGTTATTACACCAATACTGGATCCACAGGGGAGGGGTCCAGGTTCATGTCCTAATGCCTCCCTATACATGTAGGGCATGTATGCTTGTGCCCATTATCTGAGCTGGTTGAGAATGGGCTGGAATGCAGTGTGAAACCTTGTATGGGATCTCTCTCTCTCAGAAGAGAAACCTAAAAAAAAAAAAACACAAACCAACCAACCTATGTTTATTGGGGAGAAACACCACTCCCTCTTCAGAGAAGCAAAGCAAAGGTCCACAGATCTACCATGTTGTCTTAACTCTCTGGGCATAGACACTCAGCTCTGTGTCTCTTGACTTACCTCTGGAGATATTATTGGTGAATTTATTATTTTCCCTCAGAGCCCACTCGTGGCTTTGCTTCAAGATAAAATAAGAGTGATGTGCAAAGGCAGATCCACTTCCCTGGGACATAAGAAACAAATGCCTCTATCATCAACAGTAGCAGGGAGAACAGTGATTAACACTGTCTGGGTGGACAAACTGGACGGTCGATAGCTGTCCATTGACCATCTCCCTTTGTTGCTAATGGTGAACACTGATGTTGACAGCAGCAGCTGCCAAGAGTCTCACATTCTGGTTCTTATTCTGCCATTACTGGATCAGGGACAGAGGGAGAAAATATCACTTCACATTCTTTGATTTTCAATATTTTAAAAAACAAAAACATTAATAACACAAACTGCTGAAGGGGCCAGAAAGGACTAAGCTGATGCTTTGATATTATCAAGAGCCATGGTTTTTGACAATACCATAGCTAGGAATCTACTCCCCCCAAACCCGGAAACAATCTCCAAAACCTTAATAGAATTTTCTCTTTATTTTTAACAAGGATTTATAAAAGACTGTAGAATTCAAAACTCAAGAGTTATTGAAAGGGAACAGCAGTCCTTCAGCTGCTTTCTCCAAAACCTTGTTGCAAACTCCCTCTCTGAAGTATTCATTAAAGCAAGAAATATGGGAAGGGGTTACTAAAACAGTGAAAAGTAAATATAAAAAGGTTGACAGTTTTATTATTTACTTATTTATTTTTGTCTACTGTATTATCCAGTCCTTTTTTTTTAATTACAGTAAGAACAGTTAATATGACATCTATCCTGTTAACATGGATAATGGCCGTTTTACAGCCTCGGGAGTTTGACCATTTTAGATGGATACCTCATCTAAGCAGAATCCCGTAGTATCTGTCCTTCTGTGAATGGCTTATTTCACTTACCATAATAAATTGAGCATTTTTAAATAGCTATGAAAAATCTTTAGGTAGTTAACTGTCCAGAAGTACAAGGTCTTATGCTAAAGACTTCTCAACTATAAACTATAAGACACACTGCTCCCAAAGGACTGACACTATCCCTGAAGACTTCCAACAAACAGAAGATGGCTAGTACTTGGGTACGAGTCTGATAATATTAGTATAATTAGAGATCATCTCTGTATCACAAGCAGATCCCTTCTGTTATGCAGATTCCTCCAATGTAAACTAATCATGAAAGTCAGTAATTAGAATAAATCATGTGCTAAAGTGTTAAACGCAGGTTTATTTTCCACCTGCCAAAACTGAACTGTCTCTGGTATATCACTACATTGTAGGAAGAAAATAAAATGGAAGAATCGAGGCATGCATTTACATTTAGGTGTCAGGGCCTAACAAAAGGAATACGACTAGCTCAAAGTAAGCCAGATTAGATGTAAAAGGATCTTAACTACAAGCAGAAAAGCAAGTAAAGTCAAGGTTTCGTGATCAAGAAACCATGATCTGAAATTAAAAATGCTCAGCACTGAAGACAGCTTCATGGCAGCTTGTGCTGATTAATAAGAAAGATTAACTTCAAAATAGGATTCGTTTGGGATAAAGATGAAAACCTTGAGGATTCTGAACATAATATCTAAAAATAGTGCAAAGTATGCAATCCCTTGCATTTTGCAATTAGTGTTTCAGATATTCAGAAGTAAACAGTTGCCCTAACATGAGGTCATTAAAAAAATTAGAAACTTCAGAATTATTAAGAAAGTATTAAGGTGAATCACACAATTGTCAATTTTTGGTACAACAAAAAATTAAAATATCAGAAATCAGTATGATTCAACCAAATAGAGGAGGGCTCTTTAGTTCAATGCTAAGAATAAAAACCTAAAGCATGCTCATATTTTGCAGTTTCAAAAAGAAGCTTACTTCTATGGACAGGTATTACTGAAGCAGGAAAAGGATTCTGAATATTCTTTGCTAAATTTGTAACTCATGTCACACAAAACTATGGTCAGTCACTATCCACTTAAATATACCTAAAAATAACAATTTCCATTTATAACCATCCTTTCTTCTTTTTTGTCTACAATATAAATGACATTCATTTCTAACACAATTCTATTCCTAATAGATTTCTCCATCTCTCTTGCTAGATCCCTAAATCCAGGCATTAACTAAAACTTGAAGCACCTAGTCCTTCTGTACCCACATGTACCCCATGTGTCAATCAACTCTGCACCCGGTTTTCTCCTACTTGCTCCAGCCTGTCTCTACTGCTCTACTTTCTTCCAACCTTGGCACACTGCAAGTCCCATCTGTCCATGTCAGGTTCTCCCCACCTCTTTCCTTTTTATACACCAATGATCTAATCTTTCCTGCATAGAAAGTGGCCATTCTTGTGAGCCTCAGACCCTTTGCCTTTCCCATGTAGACAGGCTCTCTTATTTTAAATGCGGTATGGCATGGTAGATTTTGTCATATCACTTTCCACAGCTGCCATATCCAGGTTTTGGTAGCTTTCTCAAAACCGATTTCACCTATAAGGCTTCAATGAACAGAATGTGAAGTTTATAAATGAGGATAATTTTCTTCTTTAAAGAGTTTTTTTTGTTGTTGTTGTTAAAGGGCACATGTGCTCACCAGAGAGAGAGAAAGTGAGAAATCCTCCTCCAGAGGGAGAAGACCATGCAGCAACCCTTTCTCTACATTTTCCTCCCAGGATCTTGGCAAGCATGCACCCGCACCCGGTGTGAATTTTAGGCCACCAGGCCCAGGATTCGAACCAAGGTCAACTACGTAGGAGTCCAGCAATGTAACCATTATGCCATCTGCTGGTATAATTTTATAGGAGGAGCTATATACACCTCCACCTTAAATATCAGAACAAGGGTAATCCTCTAATCTATGTATATTTCCACATAGACTAATATTTTCTTTCTCTCTGTGACAGTACGTCAGAGGTCCTTCTTTAAAAACGTATTTCTCTGGACACAGGAAGATGGGCCTGGGGTCTGAGTTAACTCCATTCCACTGTAAAGTATTATGGAAATAATTTGTAACAGGAAAAGGTGTTCAATGTGCCTTCAGCATTTCTGGATGGTGGAAAGTTTCAAAACAATGCAGGTACATTTCTGACTCATTCTATTGGGTTTGTTTTCTATGTTCGATTTTTCATTTTTTTGGTTGCTGTAGAACCCATTTGGTGATGTCACCAGTAGACTGAGAGACAGAGTAGTTGACATTCCGTCATTTTTAACGATCCCGCCAACATCCATCCCATATTTACATACCTTGAATTTGCTATTTCCACTTTGGTTCTCGCCATGGCAGCTGCCCTTTGTGCGCCTTCAATCGCTCTGTCCACCTTCTCCCTAGTTTTTGTATTTCTTATTGGTATAAGCTGCTTCCTTATTCCACGGACCAGAATATTATTTTTGTATTTTCCCTCTTCTTTGGAGCCGTCAGGAAACACGGTACAGCCATATCCATGCCTCTTATTATTTGCCCACTCGCCTTCATACTTCATGCCATTTGAGCGCTCACTGATGCCAAAACCATTGCGCTTGTCGTTCTTCCACTCGCCCATGTAGGTTTCCGTGGTGGTGGCGTCCACGTGGTCTTCCACCGGGCAAAAATCACAATCTACATCGCCGAAGCTGATTGTGGAATTGGCATCGCTGGAACTAATTCTGCTCATGGCAGCATCGCTGCGGACCGAGCTACGCTTGCTGGAGATGGAAGACTTGGATTCGGACTTGCGAAGTTTCATGCTTCCGAGAAGGGAGCCCCTTCGGAAGAGGCCGCCCTTCTTCTTGCCAGCGAGCTCAGCGTCAGCGTGGAAGTTGAGCACGAAGCCTCCACGGGTGCCAGCCGGGCTGTCGGCAGCGGCCGCGGCGTCGTGGAGCACGCTGCCATTGCTCTGCTCACTGCGAAGCGAGGCCAGCGAGGTGCGCAGGGGCGAGCGGATCACCGTGGCCATGCCATAGGGCACGCTCTGGCGCACGCCGTAGCCGTGCCGCATGCCTCCGGCCCACTGGCCCTGGTAGGTACCTTTGAGAGATGGCAAGAAAACACAGTGTGAGTGAAGGGAAAAAGGGGCATGATGGTCTGCGTGCTGCTGTGCAGGCAGGCCCGAGGTCAAGTAACAGATTTCCAAGTCAAACCTAGGGGATACTTTTCATCCACTTGAGAATCCCTGCCCTGTAATTTGGGGCTTGCAACTTTTAAGTTATTGCACAGGACGTTCCAATAATCTGATAACTTTTGCTTTTCGTTAGAAAAATTTTTATGCGTGTTGCAGATGAAAGCCTCTACTTTCTAATACAAAAGGGGGGAGCACTTGGAAACAACTTCTGCACCCTGAAAATAACACATTGAAAGTTCCGCTTAGGAGGGGAGTACAACAGAATATGAAATGAATACTATTTATGCCTTTTATCTTAATTTTACCAATTTAGCTGAACAAACTTATGAAAGTAACTTTCGATTCTATGTCAGTATAGCATTCCAACAAGTACAAAGACTTAAAATTACATTATTATCAATGAACTGAACACTTGGGACACAGGTCGTCAAATTGTCTTAAATTTTTTTTCTGCCACTATGATCCACATCTACTTTTTGGAGTAGGAAAACCTTCAGTATTTAGGATTATCGCTTATAGATTGGTTAAGACTTTTTGAGCTAGGAATAACTAGACAAATACATATTCTGAACAAACCTTATGGCAAAGGAGCAATGTTAACATTTTTGTGCTGCCGAGTAAAAGGATTGAGTTCTGGATTTACTTGCCAAACTTGATTCCTTTGCCCAATCTTTGTCCTGGTCACTCTCTTCATGGGTTTGCCTAGCCTCTGCCATTGCATCGTGAATTACATCAGAGACCGGATGCTCTCTGAGGGTAGGAATTACTTCACAACACAAAATTCTCAAAGTCAGAGCTTATGTACCTTGTGGTCTATGGGTGTTTGATGACTCTGTTTTCAGTCAACAGCGGTGGTAGCTAAAAGTACACACTTTTTACCCTTGGAAAGACTGGGCTAAAGGCAGGGGAAACTTTCTGGACTTCATTTCGGGGCAAAGGTGTTTTTGACAGTGTCCATTATAACTTTGTAGACACCAGGCCACTTTTTCAAGGAATAGGGTTCTCTCTTAAACAGTTGTTTTCAATAAGTTTTTCTACTAAAGAAGCAAGCAAAAACATTTCAAAAATAACCTGGTGCAAGGTTTTAAATAATCTTAGGAGGAAATGAATGCTAAATTAGGGAACTGAGAATTTTCTTTTCAAAAAATCAAAGTCATTTCTTTTAATTAGAGACAAATTTTAAAATTATAGCATCCCCTCAAAGACGGCATTTAAAAATTTAAAAATGTAATTGCTTCTGTGTTATTCATAATTCACAATGTCATAGAAAAATGAATCATGATTACAGTCTGTCTTGACCTCTTTGCATTTCTGATGATGTAAATCTACCTTCATAGTTACTTTGGACTTCTTAGTGCCATACACAGATTTCCTCTGTGTGGCATATATTTATTTTTAAAACACTGAGCAACAATGTTAGTGATTTTATTTTGTTACATTTAACAAGGGCTGATTATTTCACTCCACTTAAAACTGGAATGGCTCCCATCAGTTTTGACCAGTTTCAAGACTGTCTTCTCTTCCTGTACATTCTGACATATTTACCAAATATACATCGAAAACAGTAAGGTGACAATACTAAGTGGATCTGGTCCTGTGGGTGTCATATTCGGGGTAGACGCAAATTCTTAACTTGACGTCTAATGGACTTCTGAGAAGATGGTTTGGCCATAGCTTTCTCCAAAGGATGACCCAAGAGGAAAAGATAGTCATATAAAACATTCCAGGTTAAGCTTCCTGCTGTATATTAGCCACGTCCAAAAAACGCCACTTCCACAGGAAAGGGAACTGAAAGGAAATTTAAACTTTGACTTCTCTTTTGCCTATATAGATAAAATTTAAATTTGAGAGTAAAATTTATACAATCTGACTTACATGTATTAAAACAAGCTACCTTATTTTAAAATATTTGTGGGGAATAAATGCTATAATATTCTAACTTTTCTTTATAATGACAAGTTAACTTTGCTAGAACAATGTGCAAAGATGTTGTGTGATGTCATTAAGTATTTCTACTTTTTAAACACAACCATGTAATCTTGGTAAATGTTTAACACTAACAGCAAATTAATAGCTAGTTTCCTTAAACATATCTTCAAAAGCAAGACTAGTACTTAGAATTTCTAAAGTACTGCATGAAATCCAATCTGTTTAAGGCAACAGCAATAATTAGAAAGTTTAAGTCTCTGCTTAAGTGTCAAATAGGGAAAGGGTAGGGGGAGGGTGACAACATTGACCACATTCCTCTCCTAATTTGTCAAATCACAGTTGACCAAAGAACTCTTCCATGAAATTACTAGAAACCAATTGACAGTCAAAGCGTTAGCAGTTCATCTGAAATTTAAAGTAGGTTTAGTTTAATCAATGAAAAAAGGACCTTTTTTTTTTTTTTCAAAGCAGGGGGGCCCCAGCTTCTCCCTGCTGCCCAAATAAAGTTCTAATTAGTTCCTCTAGATTCCTAAGATATGGATGCATATTTCATAAGGGTAGATGTTATTTTACCAGTTTTTAAAATTTTTTTAATTGTTAACCTAAGAGCTGTTTTTTAGATCTATTCATTTTAACGACACAGTCTTGTAGCACAAGCCATCCAGTTCAGAATGAGTTTCAGTCCAACTTGGATTGTACTATGCCAACCTTACGTTTATATGTCACAGATGCACAATTATAACTATAGTTAATACAACGTGTCTTCCTAAACATTTTCCATGGTGTCATGACAGGTGGAAAAAAAAACAGCACACGGATCAGAATTTGCACAAAAAATTCTGGGTACCTAGACTTGGACTTTGCAAGTATGGTAGTAGCTTATTCTTAATATTCAGGGGGTTTCTGTTTCAGGAACATTTCACATACAAATCATTAATAAAATCAATAGCTATTTTTCACATGCAATTACTTCTTTCTTCCTTCACCACAAAATATATGGAGCCAGACTTCCCTAAATTTGTTAGAAGGTGTGCAGGAATGGGCATGTGGTGTGGGGAGAGAAAAACAGGTGAACTCCTTAGTAAGAGCAGGGAAAGGGATATTCCTGTTTTGGCCAAAATGCTTGTATGAAATAGGTGATAGTGAGACACTTCTGTTTAGACCCTATTTTATAATTAAGGAATTTCTAATGAAGGATATGAAGGAAAGCAGGAAATGGTACACAAAACACATTTAAGTGTAATTTTTGAATTTTTTTCTTGATAATTGTAACAGATTAAGATTTTTTTTTTTTTTGGTAGTAAAAGAAAACCATAGTTCCACAATGAGGCTAAACACTAACTTTCTAAAAGTAATTTTAAAATAGCCGTCAGATTATTGACAAGTCAATCTCTTCCCGGACATCAATTTGAGATTCTACAACATATGTATAGACCGTCTTTACTGTGCTATGTCTATTTTGATGACTAAGTATAATGAATAATCTAAATCAAGAGATTTTGCGTAATGAGTAGTAACTTTAAGACTACCTTTAACATTCCAAAACTGAAGTGAGAGAACTATCCACAGCCTTAAGGTTATAATGCATACATTTAAAAAATAAATTTTGCATCCCATTTAGTATGGAATTTAGTTATATAGAGTTGGGGCCACCAATAAAATTCAGTCAGAGATTTATATTTATAGAACCATCAACCAAGGCATTTTATGTCCTTACAGAACATTTAAGGGCCCTTCATTAACTACTGGGCAACTTGGGACTTACACAGCCAACAGAAAAGTATTAGAGCAAGTTTTTTTTTTTTTTTCTTTCCCTCTCTTTCAATTCATGAGAACCATATCCTTTATTTATACTGTAGGATGAAAAGATGTCTTTTTAAGCAAATCCTACCATTCTGCCATTTTGCATTTAAAACACGGTCCAAGTGTTCTGAGTAAGTGAAGTGTACAAATTGTATAAGCTTTTATATAAGCAATGGCATAACTGGGGTTGCAGCCGGCTGGAGAAACTTTTAATTGGATCCCTTTAATATCCTCCCAACCCTGAGCTGCTTAATTCTAAAAGGTGACATCGCCTCCTACAATCCTTTCCAATTAAATATGATTATGTTTATCATCAGAAAAATATACTTTGCCAAAAGCATGAGACATTCATCTTTCTCTGCATATTACACAAGGAAATTTATCAGTTTTTGACACCTGTTTCAATAATGTATACTTTTCCTAATTAAAAAAAATTTGTCCTATTAAATATACAGTTTATTCTGATGACATTAAATATTCAAATAAGGTGACCTTTATTTCCACCAGGCATACTGTTTGGGTCACACACCTTAACGCGCAGAGCAGTGAGCCAGTACTGGCGTTCTCAGGTGGAAAGTAGCCAAAGTATAGGGAAACCCCTTCAACTACCTTCTTTTTTAAAATGTAGATTTCTCTGCTCATTTCTAAAATGCTTTTCTAGTCATTTGTCCTGGCCAGCAAAGACTTATTCTTTTGATTGAAAACAAATAATTTAAGAACCCGAATGAAAACTGGCATGAAAACTCGCACCGCCAGAACCCCACCTGCACCAGGTGGCCTCTGGGCTCCCATAGCTAGGACGTTTCCAAATGCACCCCGAATAAGGTGCAATTCCCCCAACATCCTAGTTATGGGGTTCTGGCTTCTATCTTTAGGCTACTAGAAGACCAGAAGCGAAATACGACTCCACGTGAAACCAATCCCAGGAGCGGTCAGCACGGACCGCCAGCCTCTCAAGCCCAGGGCGTTCACTCTAACTCCATGGAAGTGGCAATTTCAAACCCGGCCGGGAGAGGGAGGGCTCAGGAACGTAATGTGACGGGCTCAAGTGACAGCGTCCTCTCTTCAGCCCAGCCCAACCCTCCCGGGTGGCGCGCTCCCTCCTGGTGGCAGTGCAGCGCTGGCGCCGGCCAGGTATATTCACGCCTCGCTCCCCCGGGTGTGGACACACCGCCCTCTCCAAAAACGGGGTCACCGTCGTGGACCAGTCCCGTACCAACGCACTCTCTGGGGGAGGGAGGGCGCAGAGGGTGGGTAGAAGGTTTCCCAGGTGTTTTGGCGGGGTTCCGGACACGTGCACTTCGCGTCCTCCCCGCTTCCCCGCAGCCTGGGCAAAGCCGACCGCACCAGCTCGCGGGGCCGCCAGCGACGCCGCTCACCTCCGTCCCCGTAGGTCTCCACGCCGTACCCGTCCTGCAGCCCGTTACTCCAGGTACCCTCGTAGCGAGCAGGGGTGCACAGGCTCTGCCGGACCCCGTAGCGCCCCTTGAAACCATGTGACCACTCCCCCCGGTACATCCACTTGCCCTTCGTTTCCACCCCCAGCCCGTGCCGCTTGCCCTGCGCCCAGTAGCCCTGGTAGGTGTTGCCGCTGGGCCAGGTGTAGCCTCCGACCACCTCGAATCCGTGCGACCAGGAGCCCGAGTACTCGCCCTGGCCCTTGGGCCCCGTGCAGATGCCATGCCCGTGCGCCTTGCCCTCCTCCCAGCCGCCGCAGTAGGTGCCGCCATCGTCGAAGTCGAACCTTCCGCCCGTCATTCGGGGGGCAGCCCCGGCGCGCTCCCCGCGGGGGCACGGACGCGGGCAGAGCTGGGCACGGCAGGGTGTAGCTCGGGGGTGGGGGCCCTGCGGGCGAGCTCACGACAGCGCCCTGGGCAGCTCGTGCCGCCGCTTGGCTCCAGTCCGACGCCGCCCCCGTCCTCCCCTTC